TTTTAGAAATTTAGCAAATAAAGACTTTTGTATAATGCTATTTATCACAATACATCTAAATTGGAGACAAATTAGAAACTATTATGCTAATGGTTACATGCATTAATGAACATCCTAAAGATGAAATAGGATATGATAAAAATATTTCAAAATATTTTTAGAAAATGTTTAAAGATATAGGGATATAGCCATAATATAATAAAGAAAATATGTAAGGATTTAAAATTCTATATAGGTTATAGTTCAATTTTATTGAAATGAAGCACTAGAAGGAATTACATCAAATACTACATTTCTCTCTGTAAGTGGGGTTATCAGGTATGTGATGTCTTTGTTTTAAATGATCATCCATAAGCATATATTACTTTCATCATTAAAAAGCCTATCAATTGTTTTCCTAATATAGTAGACTACATGTCCCATTTCTGTTTTTCTGTGAAGAGACATTTTAGCACTGTACACAATCATTTCAGCGGCTCTAAACTGCCACTATTCCTGACACACCCATCCTTGGGAACAGAAGTTCTACTCACACATTGCTCAGTGTGAAAAGGATACCAGGGTACAAATATCCTGACATGGGGACAAGAATGAGTTCCAACGGCCTCGTCGACACATGTTATGAGAAACATGGCGTGGACTTAGGGTGTGAGTAAGGCTAAAGCTTGCTGCAAAGTTTCCTATCAGCCTTTCCCTAGCTCACTGCAGCCAGAGGGACACCCCTTCTCATCTACCTTCTCTGTGAGTCCTAGAAGACAGACTGACTTTGAAGGTATACATGACCTGAGTGTAGTGCTTATCACAGAAGTAAAATTTTAGAGTGGAAAGAAAACTTAAGCCTAGTGTATTCAATTCTCATGCAATTTGAGAATGTCTAGATAAGAGGATATTCACCCCATATAGAAAGGACATAAGGACTAAATTGTGTCCACTCAAGATTTAAATGTTGAAACTCTGATCCCTTATACAACTATACTTGGAGATAGAGCTTTAAAAGAGGTAAACAAGGTTAAATGAGGTCATAAAGGTGGGGATCTCATACAATAGAACTGATGTCTTTTTGTTTTTTTTTTTTGTTTTATTTTGGTTTAGTTTTTGTTTTAGGTTTTTGCCATAGAGTGTGTGTGTGTACTTGTCAGAGAGCGAGAGTGAGAGAGAGAAAGAGAGAGAGAAATAGCCCCTGATGGGGGCTGGCCACGCTGCAATCCCTTCTCTCCCATTCTCCTCTTGGGATTTTGGGCATGCACATGCACATATACATGGCATGAATTTCAAGCCACTGGGTCCAGGACTTAAACTGTGGTTGGCCATGTGAGAATCCAGTGCCTTAACCACCACACCAACTGCTGGAGCCCAGGATCTATGTTCTTACTAGAAGAAGAAAAAACACCAAGGATGTGTTTGCACTGTGGAAATGCACACCTTGAGAAGGCTGCTGTCTATAAGGCAAGGAGAGATATCTCAGGAGAAGCCAAACCTACTAACACCAATCTTGAACTTCTAGCCTCCAGACTGTGAGAAAATAAATTGTTTAGGCCACCCAGGGGTTGATATTTTGCTATGGCATTCCTCATAGACTAATACAGGTGTTCAAGGGTTTGTAATCAGGTCCCTGTTTGCCCTTCAGAGGTGTGCTAAGGAAAAATAAAATATATTCAAGAAGCAGAATATGTAGCAATTTAAAAAAGCATAGACTTTGGGATCCAACATTTGAATTGGTTTCAACAATTACTACCTAGTCTCTTGACCTATGTAAACCTCAGGTTGTTTAAGTAGTAGTCAGAACAGTCATTTATACCTTTGGGCCCCACCTTAACTTTCTCAGTCTAATTTCCTTTCTCCTTGACCAACATTGCAATCCCAACATGCTTCAGATCTTAAGTTATCTGAGGAAGAACAAGGAATATAACTACTTGTGAGAAGTCAAAAAGGCTAAGGGGAAAAAAAAAATGCTCTGTATAACTGGAGATATTTTCCCTTTTTGTTTTAATTGTTGCTATAGGGTGCATGTGCTCACCAGAGATACAGAAAGAGAGAGTAAGCACGAGGAAGGACCCTCTGGGGCCACGCTGCAATTCCTTCTCTTCTGTTCTCCTATGGAATTTGTTGGGCAGGCATGCACATGTGCCTGGCGTGTTTCTCAAGCCATCAAGTCTGGGTCTTAGATCCTCATTTTTCCATGTAGGATACAGCCCCTTCACCACCACTCCACTGTCTGGCCCTGGAGAAAAATTCTTTAAAATATTACATAAAGACCAAAGACCATTGAAGAACCTATTTCCACTGTAGCTACAGAAGACAGTTGTGGACATTAAAAATTTATCACTTTTGTACTGTATATTATATATGAGGCATCTATGGTGCTATTCTACCATGGTAACATTTGCTACAATCTTTCAATGCAGAGCCTATAGTCACATAGCTCTATTATGACTCAATCAAATGAGATGGAGAACTCAATCTCATGTACATAGTATTAGGAATTGATGTGAATTCTTGCCTCCTCTCCTCCCCATCCTGCTCTATTATAACTTTGCAGTTTTCCCTCATATGGTGTTCTGCACATTTTAGAAATAATTAGGGCCCACGATTTAAGACTTGTCGTCAGAATTCCAATCTCACATTGACCAATTCTTCATTTGTTTCTGCACATGGAAAAGATCTTAGTTTCTCTTCCTCTGCTTGCTACCTTAAAGATTTTTTCTTCTCTCTCACTTTTCCTACCCTTCTCCTATCCTCTATTGGTCCCCCTTTGCTATCTTTTTCCTATTCCCAGAAGTCATCTGACTTCATCAATTTATTCTTCCAACACTATTGATTTAATACTCACTCTGTGCTAGGTCTGGAGATGCAGTAATAAACAAGAAAGACACAATCATGTCTTCATGATACTTATGATTTAGCCGGCAAGCCACCAGATAATCCAACAGTATTATTCAAGACAATGCAAACAAGAAGGGTGGGGGGAGGGATATAAAGATATTGAGTGAGCATACAGGGGCAACCCTAAGTCACAGCTGGGGAGTCAGAGATGGCTTCTCAGAGAAAATGTCTATTCTGGGCCTAAAGGCATGAGAAACTATTATGTGCCCTGATATATCTTAGTACTACAGAAGGTGCTTTGTGAATTAATTTGTCTGAAGTTTATTCCATGTTGTAACTTTTTATGAAATAAGTTCTGTGGTCCATAAGTTTTAGTTAAAATCATGCCATCATATATTGTTAAGGTGAGATTAATCTTTAAAAAACAGTTTGTTTGTTTGTCTGTTTTTTGACTTTTTGCTACAGGGAGTGTGTGCTCACTAGAGAGAGACAGAGAAAGAAAGGGAAAATTGCAAATCACTCTGGGGGGATGGCTATGCTGCAATCTCTTCTCCTTCATCCTTCTCTTGGCAATTGGGGCACACACACATATGCACTTCATGTGTTTTTCAGGATACTTGATCCAGGACTTGAACTGTGGAGTCAGCCATGTAGAATCCAGTGCCTTAACCATATGCCACCTGCTGGCCTGAAATTAATCTATTTTTGTTTATCAAATAAATTCTGTTCTACAGAAAATAATACTTATAACTCATCCATACAAAGTATTAACAACATGCTCTGTGTTTAATGTTGTAGTTCTGATTTTTTCAAAATACTGAAAAATGTAGTCATTCCTATTTTACAGATTCAGAAACCAACTAACTCTCAGAGAAGTTAAGCAACTTCTTCTAAGACCACACTCTATTCAGCATAGATAGAATGTCTGCATTGATAATATCAAAGTCTACCACTCACAGATTAATTTACCTTGCTATAGCTCAGGTTCCTCATTTGTAAAATGGGAGTAACAAAAATATCTGCCTTGTAGAATACATACTACAGAGTTCTCTCCAAGTATGATAAATACAATCAAAAGTAGTTTTTATACTTTGAAGATTCTCAGACTAGACAGAAGGCAAATTTACACACACACGCACACACACACACAAACACACACACACACACACTCGTACACTACCTGAGAATGTAACTAGATGAATACATAGCCTGGCCCACCAACACTTCACATCAGCATCTATACATATCCCTAGAAGCTGTGAATGAGAAGTGAGGAGGGACAGTGTCTAGCCCCCATAGTAACTTTAGTCCCTGGCATTAGTGTAGATCAGTGAACACATAAATAATTAAATCTACCTCTAACTCTAAGTTGTGACCTTTCATGAAGAACTTAGTACCTCTAGGTCTCAGTTTTGTTTTAATCACTGTTAGATTAATAATGTCTTACCTGAAAGTCCAATATGGTATATAAAATAACATGAAATATATAACCAGTACAAGTACTAGGCAAATACAAACATGGAACAGATAGTAGGCAACATACATAATGTAGGCCACCTGTATTTCTGAAGGTTTTCAGCAATTCACTTCATTTTACTAAAGCGTCCATACATATGGGCATACATACTACGTTTCTTCTCAGACTACACTGAGTCATACTTCTCTGTCTTAAAATTATCCTACATAGATAAGGATTTTAAAAGATGTACTCAGGTGACAGTAGATTATTGGAAATGATGTTATTGATTCAATTGGGCACTGTGAGTTTAACTGAGGACAGCCTGTCATCTGTTGGGGGCAGGGCATTCATGTGTGGAAGGCTCTTTGTGCTGGTACATTTCCAAGGCTCCCTCTTCACTTGAGTAAAGGTATGTAGGAGAATGAATTTATATATGAAGTGGTGGGATCTATAGAAGAGGACACATAGTATGGCAGCCTTGGGTGGAGGGTGGTGACATAAACAGTTGCCCATTTCTTCAGCTTTGGCTTCACCATAGATCTAATACAATCATACAGATCTTGAAATGGAAGTGACCAAACAAGAGACAAAAGCAAATAATGTGATTTCAAAATCCACACTTTCAGGTAACTGTAGACTATGGTCATCACACACACATACACACAGAGCCAGTCTAATTTAGACTACAGTTATTAACCTCTAACCATGAAAGTCTTACCTGTGACTGCATAGCTCTTCTCACTGCCTGAATAGATTAGCATCCCATCCATGTATAAAGAATACTGAGTTATAATGCCATTTGCTCTTTTGGGTGGATTCCAAGAAAGTAACAAAGAATTGGGAAGGGATTTGGCTACTGGTGGCTGAACCTCTTGTGGCGCTGTACGGGGGGAAAAAAAAGAGATTTATAGAGTCTAGTTTTAGTTTACTTTTCTAATTCAAACTTTTCAGACCTAAACCAATAAATCATGGAATAAACCTGAAATCCCATGCATGGAAATGTTACTGATTCACAGGCAGCTTGTCAGTAATTGCTTTAGGAACAGTGCTAAATAACTGTCCTGAATTTATGAGAATTTGCATCAATGATGGATGGGGCGTACTTGCACTAGTTCCCTTGACTGATGTTTGTGTTACTTCATCAAAAGTATTATTAACCCACAATCCCTACATGGGGCTGTGACCATCAAGGCAAATCAAGCAGCGTCCCCCTGCCCTCGAGGAGCTTTGGGTCTGAGATGAAGAATGTTGGTGAAAGTGACTCATCATAGGTATTAAAAAGCCTGTATATAATTACAGAAGTAGCTCAAACATCTAAATTAATTATATATAAAATTACATTGTGTGTTAGTATTTAAAATAAAAACAAAAATCTGTTCATTTTCTGTAGTGGACAATGAACTGGAGTCATAAGTACTAAAAGTTTTGTTAAGAATTGACCCTAAACACACCTATCATATAGTAAATAAAAGATAACTTTGTGGAAAAGTTAGATGTTTGGGGATATTTTGAATGGAAAGGAAATGGTGAACTTGAGTTGAATGAGATCCCTCTGGGGCATAATGAGGAAATGGATGTGAAAGTACCAGGCAAAACCTGAACAGAGAGGATGGATGTAGTGGATTTGGAGGGAAAAGTCAGAGACACAGAAGGATTTGTCCTAAATGGAGGCTGGTGGAAACACATATTTAAGGGGATGATGATTACATACCCTAGCAGACACAATGGTACACTAAGAAAAACAGTGTTTTTTATGAAATTTTTATTTTCACATGACTTTCATATTTACATGAAGTCTCCCATCATGATGTATACTACTGGTTTGTCATAAAAGACCTGACTTTTTTTTTTTTCTGTTTTCCTATGCAAAAAAAAAAATACATCATGACTTTTCCAACTATCTATATCATCTATATCTATATCTATATCTATATCTATATCTATGCATTTCTCCAAAAAAGAGAACTTAACATTTTTCCATCTGTCAAATGTCTCTTCCTCCTGCCCCTCACAGTGTTTTATCAGTAGAACAGATGGAGAGAATATTGACGAATGGCTGAAAATGGACTGACGCAGTCCAGGTGAAGCGTCTGCTCAGGTCAGAAGCAAAGCACAAAGAATAAAGAGTCACAAGAAGGATTTTTTTGACAACCTTTATCCTGTCATGGCTTCATCATATGTGCCTATGCCTTCCTTTCTCTTGTGTATTTTCTGTGCAAGTGGTGCTTGCTGAAGAATTTAAACGTGGGAAAGAGGGAAGAGAAAGGAGGGAGGATGGATAGATAGTGGGAAAGAGAAAGAGATGGGCTCTTTTGCTCTAAAGATCAAGCTTTTAAATCTCCGAAATAACTTTACAACTAGTCAGCCTAAGCAATGTGCAGACCCTCTCATCCAGGAGGGAGAAATATGAAGTAACAATGCTTCAAATGTTTTGAGAGCTGTTATTTCTTGAAGAGAGACGTTCTGATGCTTGAGCAAAGCTTTCACTTTGGAGTGGTAAAATATTTTCTCTTTCTCACTGCCTTGTTAACATACGCTTTCTAAAACATTAATTTATGCCAACGGTTTGTGAGTTCCAAGTACAACAAAAGTGAGACTTAAGTCGGGAAGAACTGAGCAGTGATTAATAATGCCTCGATTGGCATTTGGAGGTTCCATCATACTGAAATAATTGTTGCCTGTGCTGGTGTTTAGCAGTTAAAAGAGACCATGGAAATCAACCGTTTGATTCTCAATTTCATACTGTGCCATACAATCAATTCTTTTTAGTCAGACTGTCTCTAGATTTACTTCTGAGCCATAGTAAAATGAGGAAGCTTTCATTAATCTTTCAGATGCTTCATATTAATGACAAGGCTCTTGCATGAACAATGTAACAGCAATTAAAAAGCCCATTAATCTGCATTACAGCTATTAAAGATGCATGTCATTAAAGGGTATGGAGTTTGATTCATTTTCGCACCCCCCAAAAAAATGGAGCAATTATGGCCTGGCAATGCACTTTGTCATCAAATTAGGTTGGGGTTTTCCAGCAAATGGCCTTGCAGCATTTAGCTCTTCTCCTATTTTATTATTCATGACTGAAATGTGGAAGTCAAGACCTTTGAAATTACTTTACCTTCTTGTGGAGTAGAGATGTTCAATGCATGTGAGCTCTCAGTACAGCCAGCCAAAGTGCAAGCAGTTAGGGTTATTGCATAGTTTTTGAAGGGTAGCAAGCCTGTCAATATGCCTATAATAAAAGAGGGAACAAAAGAAGTTTGCATGTTTATCATAAACATCTATAAAAATCAGTGTTTGTATATGTATGTGTGTGTGTGAGTGAGTGTGAGAGAGAGAGAGAGGCTGATGCAGAGATTCAGAGACAGACACAGAGGTAGACAGAGATAGAAAACAAAAATATATGCCTCTTTCATTCATTTCCTGCCTGTCTACTAACAGCAGAGTGGGGTGACTCATGAGAAAAAATGGTAAGACCAACTTATTGTTAAGTATTTGATGTCACCCCTATTAAAAAGGGGGCAGGAGGAGAGTTTCCACAAATACTTTATAAAGCAGAGCCCAATGTTTCTAATAGTTAAGATGCATATTATCTCATTCCAGGATTCTAGACCTCCTGCAGAAGCAAAACTATTTAATTTTCTTTAACTTAGCATTTTTCAACCATATTTAACTAAAGAGTTCTTTTTATGTGGCATCTATTAACACACTTAAGAAAATGCTACTCCCAAGAGTGGCTTCATTATTTTTAACTGTAGGATACACATATACAAGCTATTTGTTTATGTTGTAGCTAACAAATATGCAAATTAACATAGCTGAACAATTAGCAAATTAGATAATTATGCTTTTGTACTTCTACTTGCAAAATTATTAGTTTATTTAATTAAGACACCTGTCTTAAACAGAAGTGTTACACATGAAAGTGTTGAATTAACCTGACTTGGTAGTGGATATATAAGATTTGTTTGACAATTAAAAGTACCTGCAGAAATAAAAACACATTTTGTTTACTTGTATTCATAATCAAGGCAAAAATTCTTTATTTAGTTGATCCTTTGAATTAAAGAAGTATGAAAAACATAATCCGTGCATTTGCTCACCACTTTTCTACTGCAGAAGTTTTTTAGAGTGGTCTTTAATCCTAATCACCTAGATTATCACTATTCTTATTAAAAGATGGTCCTATTCCTGGTATCCCTTTATTGATTAAAACTTCAATAACCTAGGGAATATATTATTGCTTCAAAGTGCCAATATTGGTGACAGCTTGCATCATTCAATCACAAATTTTAATATGCATGGTTCTGTATTCTCCCTCCCCAGTATAACATCCTAAATATTAAAAGAGCAAAGAGCCAGAATGAAACAAAGACCATAAGCCATTGTTTGTCTTGGCAACTCCCACTTGCTTTTGCTCCCTAGTGCTGCCTTCAACTTTTCATTCCAGCAACTCCCCAGGTCTGTGTCTGGGCTACCAAACCCTCTCTGTCATGCTTCTACATGAAAATATCCATCTACTTGGCACCATCACCTTAGCTCATGGCCAAAGAAGACAGCATGCCAATGAACTAATATGCATACACATGTGACCGTCTCATGCCAAATTCAGCTCTTCCTAATTTCAAAACCCCCTTGTGTCATAACCTTCTGCTTTCCCCTATTCTTGCCACCATGATTTCATTTCCTCTTAACACTCCCAGACCATGACCCAAATTCTGAACTCACTTTCTTTTAAGACATTATTTCTCTCTACTGAGTGTCTTAAGAGCAAATGAACATGTCAGACACACACACACACACACACACACACACACACACACACACACACACACACACACACACACACACACACACACACACACACACACACACACACACACACCTTCATCATGTAGCAATGCAGAGTAAAAAACACAGATGCTTGGGCCAGACTTTCTGGCTTAAATTTCAGCTCCACTACTAATGGGCTGCATGGAGTTGGGTAAGTTGTACAGACCTCTGTGCCTTAGTTTCTCCATCTGTAAATGGATAATGGTTAACCCTATCTTGAAGGAGAGGCCACACAAGACTCATTTGTGAGATGGGGATATTTCAGTACTTACCACAGAGGGTTAGTATTAAGATGAGTTTAGGAATACACAGTACTTAGTTCGCAGTACAGAAGTTGAAAACTTCAGTGCAGAGCTATTATATCTGTCCAAGTTGCACTAATTTTGCAACTCAACTTCTGCCTCTACAGGATATTAAATAATTTTTATCTTATAAAGATCACAAGTGACCCCTTACATCAAGTAATCCTTCCTCAGTTCTTATCTTCCTATATTTATCTTCTGTTGGCTTCCTTCTGTGCCACTGAAGTTTATAGTCACTCTTCTAAAGTACTGAAGAGCTCCTTTTTTTTCTTGATTGACTCATCTCTCTCTCTCTCTCACAGTCCCTTAAGCATGAGGGGATTCAAAAAGGTGGTAGAAAAATGGAAGTTGCGAGTGAGTTTACTTTGGTGCAGAGAAATTTTGAAATCCATGTAAAGTTTTTTTTTTCATAATGCAATTTTTAAATAAAATTGTTGAAGATAGCTTTCATTTCACAAGGTTGGATCCTCAGGTTTCTTCCTTTTTCTAAACACTTGCCTTTGATGATTCATCCAGCGTCACCTTTCAGTGATCAAATTTATATCTATAGATTCCATTATCTCTTCCAAACTCTAGTTCTGAATTACTGACTGTGGGCCCTGCTTCCTCACCTCAATGTCCCACTGGTATTTCACACTCAATATGCCCCAACCCAGATTCAACATCCTAAACTACTTCGTAAGTGTCATTTTCCCATATCTTTATGCCTCTGCCATGGACCCTTAATTCTAGGCTCAAAACTAACGTACCATTATAAAATATATTCTTGCTATTCCATTCTTAAAAAATCTTTGGCATTTGCCACCATCTTTCCTATTGTCACATTATAATTTATTTTAAGATTGTAAATAAGACTGGAAACAAGATGGCGTAATGGTTACATCACTGGACTCTCATGTAGTCCACCATGGTTTGAGTCCCCTACCTTGCAGCTTAAAACTCACACCAGGCGTACATGCATGAATGTCCAAAATCAGGAGAGGAGAAGGGATTGTGGTTAAGGCCATCCTCACTGGAGGGGTGACTTCTTGCTATCTGTCTCTTTCTCAAGAAGTGCACACACCCCTTATTATAAATAAGATGGCTTGCATGTATGAATTAGCATAATGCAACATGAACAAGAAATGAATCAGTCCCCAAAGAATAAAACTTTTCATCCTAAAGCAAGCAAGAAAAACATGTTGGATAGGAGGGTACGTTCCTTTGTTCATCACTTACATGGTATGAATGGAAAGCAGTGCCTTTCACAGATGGGTAGGATATAGCTGAACATAAGTGTCCAAAAAGACACAATGACCTTAGACAGGCTGGCGATCTGAAATCTGAAATGTGTCATTCATCCTGGTAATATTATCATTGAGAAACATAAAAGCTGTTGTATTATTTTATAATTTTGTAATCTGGCCTTATCGAATACTTTAGCCACCACTTCTTTCTAAATCATAACTGAAGTACAATGTTGGAATTATAATTGTTGCATCAACTCATCAAGAAAGATATCAACACAGCCTTTAAAAAGTGTTAGTCAAACGAGATGCTGAATTCGCACTAAGTAAATGATCTTCTATGTTTTACTTAACCTTGTTATACCTTCACTTAAGGAGTTATTTTGTGTGTATACACATACCATGAAATTTCATTAATCCAGCCCCCCACCCCCACACAAAGTTTACACCTTAAAAAAAAAAAAAAAAAAAAAGCAATACTCTCAGCAAACTTGCTTTATTTAGCTTTGTGCTTTGGGAGAGAAGTTTACCAAATTGTACTGCATTTCACAGGAAAATCCTGAGATTCTTATAGAAAGATGCTAGAAAGAAACTAGATCATCTTTCAGGTCATTTATCAAAGTGCTCACATTTCCCATTTCAAGTTAGGTGAAACAATAATAAACACTGAGAAATGAGAGCTACAAAATAGAAGGTAGAAAAAGAAGAAAACTGATGTTTTGGTTCTTGCCAACTCTGGATCTCAGGTAGAAGGTTTTGGGTAGTTTGTAAATCATACTTTCCAAAAATATGTTTTATATCTTGAAGCTGCAGTGGCATTTCTTTCCTCTTTTCAGTGGGAATCTTGCTCATATGTCTCAGCCTGTCAAACCATCTGAATAATACAGGTCGATATTAACAAATTTTACACTAAATACAGGTTAGTATTATCTATTTCTGTTGGTGGAATGATTTGGTGTTTTCTCTCCTCTTGTCAGGTTATAATTAATGGGTGAGTGGGCTGGTCAACCAAGTGGTCTTCACTTAATTGGAATAATGACAAAGCTATCCTTAGTCTGGGGTATGTGGTTTACCTCCTTTGATCCTCAGTATGGAGCATTCACCAGGATGGGTTAAAGTTGATGCTTACTAAAATCTGTGCTATGGGGGCCAGCAGGTGGCATGGTGGTTAAAGGTGCTGGACTCCCACATGGCTGACTGCAGTTTGTGTCCTGGACCTGGCGGCTTGCCTTCTCACTTTCTTTGTCTTCCCCTTCTGAGTGTCTCTCTCTTTCTCTGATGAAGGCATGTGATCTATGGCAAATGGAAAAATAATAATGATAATAAATTTAAAATTCTTAAAAACATGCAGTGCTATCATTACCACAGAAAGACAGTAAGAAGCCAGCCGGTAGTATAGTGGTTAGGGTGCTGGATTCCCATGGCTGACTATGGTTTGAGTCTTGGACCTGGAGGCTTGAAAAAGTCATACATGTGTGCACACATGTTCAAGGTTTCAGGAGGAGACTGGAGAAGAGATTGTGGCATGGCCATCCCCTTTGTGGGGTGACTTTCCCTCTCGTTGTCCCTCTCTGGTGAGAGCACACGCCCTACAGCAAAAAAATCTAAAAAGAAATAAATAAAAAAGAGAGGAAGATAGTGAGTATATGCTCTCTCAAACTAAGTATGGTAGCCCTTCTTGGATAAATCCTTTGATATCACTGAGTGATCACTGAGAGCTATTAAGTATCATTATACCCTCCAGGAAAAATAAATATATAATACTGCTATGATAACATGTCATCATCAAAAAGCATTTATCAATGTTTCTTCAATATGCCTCTGGGAACAGTACTACAGAACATAACTGATTGTTACAAAGATTCTAATAT